AATGTCCACTTCATCTTGTTTACTTGACCGTACTTTTAACCGATATTTACTTGGTGTTAACTTCACGAATGAGCACCGTAATTCTTCGTCAACTGCTAATACCGCGCCACAATTGTTGAATTTACCACAGTAATTTGGAGCCGAAAAAAGAGTAATCATATGGCGGCCAGCAAAAAATTCATAACCGTCCTGAAAAAAAGCAAAATGTATTGTTAGAAGACAAACAAAGCAATTAGTAAAAAAAATCATGACATCCTTTAAAGAAGTGAAATATTTTAACTTGAATTAGATTATAATTGTTAATACACTTGAGAAACATTAGCAATAATTATTTTATTAATAAATTTGTTTCAAAATTTTTTTTCATAAGGAATAATAAATTGAATTTGAACAAAGTTTACACGGTTGAAAATTCACATGCAATTTGTTTATGCATAAATAATTACTTATAAATGATGAATATCATAAAATAATATATACAACATTTTACGACTGCAATAATTAATTCATTATATATGAATATTTTATGTAACTATTGGAGCCTAAATTATGATGTAATGAATTTCTTCTAACACTTACTTACCTGTACAACCTGATGAGCGCGTACAATAAAATCCAATTTATACTGTTGACATATTGCTAATACTGCTTTTTGATTGAAATGATGCGAAATACCCCGTAATGATGGCCTAAAATATGGGTCATTTGGCTCGTTTGACATGTTAGCATCTGGATCAGACCTGTAATTCATCTATATCAGAGATCAGATAATAGTCATAATTACCTCAATCATTCAATTATATTTCTAAATAAATCGTTTACTTTATAACATACCATAACAAATCGACTTCTATACTATCATCAATCGGATCCACTGGTCTTTTTAAATGTCGTAAACCATCAAGATTTGTCATTTTTGGTGACAAACCGCCATGCATGCAAAGTATACGTTTATCAACACGTGCTGCGAATGGTAACCAATTAAATAAATCCTGAAATTTTCAAATTTATTAAACAAATAAGTAATAGAAATTATTAATTTTCTTACTAAATTTATAAACTTTTTTTTGGTATACAACATAATTTTTTTGTATACAATGAAACTTTTTTCATATTTTTTTATATACAAATTTTTATACCTGAAATTTGATCCATAACAAATCACCATTTTGGAATCGTTCCTCTAATTCATCCCGAAAACCGTAAGCTTGATTTATAAGTGAGCATTCATGGTTTCCTCGTAACAGGAACATTTTTGCCGGAAAGCTAATTTTCATGAGTAATAACAAACATATTACTTCCAAACTATTTGGACCACGATCAACGTAATCACCCATAAAAAGATATCGCTGTAATAAATTTTAATCAATATCGAAAATGAAACCGAAAAATATGCAAGTTGCATTGTTTAATTTTTTTCCAAAATAAGCGCAAAACTTACTTTGTTAATGCTACCATTAACAAAGTAAATTTTGTGCTTATCTTTCTTAAATTAATATTTAATACAATCAACAAAAAATAAAATTTTTTTCTCAATTAATTAAAGTTAATTATTTTAAAATACTTTCCGTCCATTGACCTCATAGGGTGGCCGACCACATTGTTGAAAAATTCGTAAAAGATCCACAAATTGCCCGTGAATATCACCGCAAATATGGATGGGTACGGTAACTTCCAACAAAGAACATTCTTTTTGCAATATTTCTCTGTAAATGGACAAAAAGAAGAAAAAAATAATTTCAATTTTTTTTTGAATCCACCAAATTTTTTAATTTAAAATGTTAAATCGATGCTGCCTTAGTAAAAATGCATTGATACAATAATTAAAATTTACGCCTTGCCTTCGCTAATTTTACACGTTAAGTGTATTAATTTCTTTACTCAAAATATCTATTATATCAAAGATTTAAAAGTTTAATTAATGATTAAAATAAATTAAACAGGCAAGAATTTGACTGGTCAAAATTTAACTAAAAATTGGATTAACTATTAATTAGTTATTTACAAGTGAAAATTAAACTTGAAACATAAATCTTAAAAAGTTTTTTTTTATTTTTCTTAAAATACATAATATTAAATAAAAGATTGACGAACTTAGAACGTCCAATCATGCGTTCAATAATATTAATATCTTTGAGCACATCATTTACCACTTTACGATTTCTCGAATCTATCGTAATACAGTTGAATAATTTCACCATTAAGTTATCAACTTCTTTGTCTGATAAAATTTGTGAACTAATTTCACGAGCTGATCCTGCAATTTCTGTTTAATAACAATCCAGAATGATGGAATTGTAATAAAAAAGAAAATTGCTATTTTTCCTGCTAACATTTTTTAATTTTATCAATTAATCATTGCAATTTAATACCTAAGTATTAATACAATTTTTAAAATGGACAAAAAAATTAAAAAATTTCCTACTAATTATCAAAAAATTTCTTATATATATTTTGATTTTCTTCAGAAAGTTTTATAAACTATTTGAATTTAAAATATTTTCATTGAATTTTATTGTTTACAGATTTCTAATCTGTTTTCCTTTCATTTTTAACCTGCTGATGATCCACTTGTTGCTGCTGAAATTTTTGTTTGAGAGCTAATGCTTCCAACTGATGAAGAGGATCGCATCAGAAAAACCATTTACGATCGAAATTTGATTAAAATTTGTACAAAATATTAGGCTTCCCACTAAATATTTAAACGACCAAATTTATCGTTTCATCTAAAAAGCACTAAATTAAACGAATTATTTCAATCTTTTTTATAATCAATTGTCATTTCTTTTTTCATACTATTTTTTTGTTATGCAAATTTTTGTTTTTTTTTTTTATTTTAGTAATTTTTGCAAAATTTTGATCGCATTCATTTTCGTTTCTTATCATATAGAAGCAATACGTTTTGCATAATTTATTTAGTAAAAAAAATTTGCGTAGCAAAAATTTCACTTCTTGAAAGCTGGAAAATGAAAAATTTAGCTTTTAAATTTTTAAATTTTTTAAATTCCGATAATTTAATTAACTGACAATCTAAGAGTAAATAATTTCTTTCATTTGAAGATTAAATTGTTAATTAGTACAAGATGAAAGTAATGCGTTACAACAATGCACTTCTAATCTCTTCATCGTTGAATACACCATTTAACATTACTTTTAACATCAAATATATTAACATATACATCTAATAGCTTTGTAATAGAAATCTGAAACAATTTCTTAACCTTGCAATCAACCTTAATTAACCTATAATGAGCTTAATTTCTCGAAGTGTCACGCTTTCTTTGATGGTGATCAATACTAATAGTACTATCTCATACAGTATGACAAATTGAGTGCTAACCTTATATAGTATAACAAATTAATCAACTTTCTTAGCTTAGCAGCTGTTCTAACAATCCATTTCATATTTCCATTGTTTTGCATTACTATTTTGTGTGATGATTTCCTATTTCATATTTCATTCAAAAAAAAATATAACATCATAAGGATTAATTTAAATTTTAGCTGTCACATGGTTCAATACCATTTTGAAACAGTTCTATAAGCAGTTGATGACAACAAATAAATGCCAGACGTGCATGTATCTCATTATAATACAGCCATAATCCACTAAAACATAGCAGCAGCTGGACAACAGCGCCCAATACTGATTACTATTCACATCCATTCCATCTTCCTTTTGTCACAACCACTATTTCAACATTTTTACAGCTGTTCTTGCATTTTTCTTTTTTTGGGAATGTATTTCTGAGAGTATTTCAGT